AAAAAAAAAAAAAAAAGAATAGAATACAACTTTGGTTGTGTTCTAATTTTAAACCATTCAGTGCTCCCTTGTCCTGTTCAAACGACTATCTCTTCATCTATGAACGGGTTCCTCATGAGCACAATCAAGTGTTCTGGAATAATTGTACTTTGCAATGTTGTCCATAGTTTGTCATGATCCACACACTTGAAAGCCTTTTCAGAGTCAATACAGCAAGGTAAACATATTTCTGGTATTCTTTGCTTTCAGCCAAGATCCATCTGATATCAGCAATGATATCTGTCATTTCATGTCCTTATCTGAATCCAGCTTGAACCTCTGGCAGTTCCTGTCAGTGTACTGTTACAGCCATTTTTCAATTATCTTTAGCAAAATTTTACTTAAATGTGATATTGTCTGATGATTTCAGCATTCCATTGGGTCACCCCTCTTTGGAATGGACATAAATATGGATCTCTTCTAGTCAGTTGGTCAGGTAGTTGCCTTCCACATTTCTTGGCATAAATGAGTGAGTGCCTCTAGTGCCGAATCAGTTTGTTGAAAGATTTCCATTTGCATTCCATCAATACCCAGAACCTTGTTCTTTGCCAATGACTTCAGTGCACCTTGGACTTCTTCCTTCAGGATCATTGCCTCTTGGTCATATGCTACCTTTTAAAATGGTTGAACATCAACCATTTCTTTTTGGTAGAGTGACACTTTGTGTTCCCTGTATCATCTTTTGATGTTCTTTGCATCATTCAAATTTTGCCCCTAGAATCCTTCCATTTTTCAGTCGAGGCTTGAATTTTTTCCACAGTTCTTGTTCTAACTCCTCATTTCTAACTTGCACATTTCATTAAAATATTTGAATTTGCCTTCTCGAGCTGCCATTTGAAATTTTCTATTCAGTTCTTTTACCTCCTTATTTCTTCCATTTGCTTTAGCATCTCTACATTGGAGAGCAAGTTTTTGTCTCTCCTGACATCCACTTTGGTTTCTTCCTCCTTTTTGTCTTCTTGGTGACCTTTTGCTTTCTTTTTGTATGGCGTTCTTGATGTCATCCCACAACTCTTCTGGTCTTCAGTCATCGGTGTTTGTTGTGTTGTGGGGTCTTGAGTGTTGCTGTGATTCTGGAAGCCATTCCACTGGTAGGTTAAATACCAGCAGGTCACACGGTGGGCAGGTTTCAGCTGAACTTCCAGACTAAGACAGACAAGGAAGAAGGAGAGACAGACTACTTCTGAATATTTAGTCACTGAAAATCATATAAATAGCAGTGGAACACTGTCAGATAGCACCAGAATATTGAATATGGAAACATGATGTCGAGCACCAGAATATTGTCATATATAAAGCCAGAAAATGAGCCCCTAAGGTTGGAAGGCATTCAAAATATGAACGGGGAAGAGTTGAAACCTCAAAGTAGAGCTAACTGTGATGAGAGGAATGGAGTAAAGCTTCCAGAACCTTCATTTGCTGATGGGGCACACTCAAAATGAAAAGAAACAGCTGTAAATATGCATTACTAATCGGAACACAGAATGTACGAAGTAGAACTCTAGTAAAATTGAAAATTGTCAAAAATGAAATGGAACTCATAAATATCGATATCCTAGGCCTTAGTGAGCTAAAATGGACCCGTATTGGTCATTTTGAATCTGACAACTACATAGTTTACTATGCCAGGAATGACAAATTGAAGAGGAATGGTGTCACATTCATCATTAAAAATAACATTTCAAGATCTATCTGGAAGTACACTGTCTGTGATAGGATAATATCCATCCACCTACAAGGAAGACCACTTAATACCACTATTATTCAAATTTACAAAGAAGGAGGAGCTGTGGAATAAAGCCCTGGACCACAAAGCTAGCTTGAACCACAAGGTCAACAACAGTTCAAACCCACCAGCTCCTTGGAGTCGAAATCAACTCATGGCACTTCACAACAACCAACTTCATCAGTCTGATATTGATCAAATATCTAATCAATGTATTGATAATTACTGGTGATTATCCAACAAAGGTTGGAAACAAAGAAGGATCAGTCGTTGAAATATGTGGCCTTGATGATAGAAACAATACTGGAGCTCACATGATGGAATTTTGCAAGACCAATGACTCGTTTATCGCAAATACCTTTTTTAAACAACATAAAAGGCGAGTATACACATGGACCTCACCAGATGGAATACACAGAAATCAAACTGACTACATTTGTGGAAAGAGACAATGGAAAAGCTCCATATCATCAGTAAAACAAGGCCAGGGGCAGTCTGTGAAACAGACCTTCAATTAATCATATGCAAGTTCAGGCTGAAGTTGAAGAAAATTAAAACAAGTCCACGAGTGCCAAAAATATGACCGTGAATATATCCCACCTGAGTTTAGAGATTTGATTAATTAAACACTAATGGAAAAATGTTGTTTTTCAGTGACATGGAGTCGACTCCGACTCATAGCGACCTTGTATAGGGTTTTCAAGGAGAGGTTGCTGAGTTTGAACCGCTGGCCTTGCGGTTTAAACGGACCTTGCATTATCTCGCAGGAGTCATACAAAAATCAGGGACACCCTCAATGTGTCGGCACGACTCAAAAGCCTCGGAGATGGGCAACCTTCCATTGAGTGAGGTCAGCCCACGTCCCGCCACCGACGTGTCTATCAGCTACGCCCTGCCGCCCTCCACGTGGAGCCCGGAATTTTGGAGACCAGTTAGTCCCCCGCAGAGGCGACCTCCGGACTCCCTGACACTGGCTCTGCTGGCGGGCGCGGGCCGGCAGTCCCTGAACAGGCGACGTGTCCGGGAGCGCGAAGCCCCACCCGGCCAGAGATCAAGCCCAGAACGTGCTGACGTAGGAATCCAGACAAGGACCGGGAGTCTCCGGAGAGGGCGGAGGGGGAGGAGCCGGGGCCGAGGGGCGGGGCCAGGATGGGAGGGCGAGGCCAACGATCCGAAGCGGTGGGCGAGGCGGGGCAGTGACTAGGAGTCTCCGACCGGCGCGTGGGAGGAGGGCGGGGCCGGGGCCGAATGGGGCGGGTCCTGAGAGCCTGGGCGGAGCCGGCGGGCTCAACAGTGGGCTGGGCGGGCACTGTGCCCGGAACTGTCCTCTACGTTCTCCTTCTGCGCGACCTCGCGGTGTGGGAATGAGGGCGCCGCGCGTCCGCTGAACCAGAACGATGGGTGAAAACTCGCCTCCCAGGGACCCTTAAGCCCGGGGTGGGACCGGGGGAGGTCACGCACCCATCACTGATCCACTGGGACCGCGGAGGAGGGACTGAAGGGTGCGCTGTCCACACGGAGATTCCCGGGGTTACAAATCCGACGCCCCGGGAGCAGCGGGCCAGAGGGTGGAGGGTCCTAACACACGGTCGCACGTGATCTGTCAGGTTCCCGAGAGCCCCCAGAGTCAGAGTCGCCGACCCCTTGTGGGTGTCCGTGGGGAGGGGGCAGCCGAAGGAAGAGATCAGCGCTGGGCCTGGTAATATGGTGTTAGGGGACTTAGGGCCATCCAGCCACCGGGTTTTCCCGTGTGACCTTGGGCGTCCACTTCTCGTGCCTCAATTTCCTGTCTGTAAAATAAGGGCAAGATGAACTTGAACCCTCCGGCGGGTGTGGGAGGTTCGAGCACTTTGTGGATGAAGGCTTAGAAAGTGCTAGCGACTGTTACTCGTTTTCCAGAAAAGGAACCTGAGGCTCAGGCGACTTAGAAACTTGGTTAAGTCACCCAGCCAGCCCTAGCCCACCCCACAGCCCATTTGGTGCATCCTGTAAAGCCCACCCAAGCGTCCCCTCACCCCGCTGGACTGGTTTCTCTAATCCTGCGGTATCCCAGGCAGGAATGAGTGAAGAATGAATGACTTGGCCTTTCTTTCAGGTCTGCTATCAGAGCTGAAGCTGGCTGTGCCTTGGGGCCACATCGCTGCCAAAGCCTGGGGCTCCCTGAAAGGCGCCCCCGTTCTCTGCCTGCACGGCTGGCTGGACAATGCCAATTCCTTTGATAGACTCATCCCCCTTCTCCCTCAAGGTAGGGCTGGAGGTTGTGAGGTGGTAGGCAGGGGTGGGAGATGGTGGGTACATCTCCACCTGCCCCTATCGCTCTGTTTCAGACTTCTACTATGTTGCCATGGATTTCGGGGGCCATGGGCTTTCATCTCATTACAGCCCAGGTCTTCCGTATTACCACCAAGACTTTGTGAATGAGATCCGGAGAGTTGCAGCCGGTGAGCGTCAATGGGTGTGTGGAGGGAGGCTCTGGGGGCACCCCCTCTTACCAGTGGAACAGGACCTAGCACTGAGAAAGTAGGGTTGGGCTGAGGTGGGCACGTCCAGTTTTGTCAGTAATTCTTTGGGAAGGTAGAATTCAGCTGTCCCCAGGCAGTGGAGCCGGGTTCTCTTAGCCAGTCTCCTGGGGGTTGACCCAGAGGCTGGGAAGGAAATTCTGCAGGAAAGAGAGGGAGTGTGGGGGTGGAGGGGAGGCCAGACCCTTCCTGACCTTGGTTCCCTGTGTTTCAGCCTTGAAATGGAATCGCTTTTCCCTCATGGGCCACAGTTTTGGTGAGTACTGTGACTTTTTAGTCTCCAGGACCTGAGGCGATTGGGCCAAGGGAGGGCTTGACTTTGCACCTGCATTTGGCACTGTAGGATAAGCACTGGACTGTTAACTACAAGGTTGGTGGCTTAAACCTACCTGCTGCTCTACAGGGTTAACAGCACTCAACAACAACAACAAAGTGAGGAGAGATGAGGGTCAGCTACACACTGACCTTTGGGCATGCTGCTAGACTTGGTCCTTGTCTATCTCCTCACCCAGTAAAGGAAATGTGATGTTTTAAGTGGTCAGGTTTGATGACGGTCTCAGGGGAGAGGACCCTGAGTCTGATTGGAACACAAAACTCCCACTTCTCTGGTGGCAGAGAGGGTGACCCCTAGTTTGGGGAAGACTCTCAATCCCCTTGAGATCTGGGGACGGGGAGTGTGGACCTTTCAGCCAATTGCTCGTTTGTCCTACAGGTGGCGCTGTGGGCGGGATGGTGAGTAGAGGCTTTGGGGTGCAAAAGGTGGGGGTGGGGGGCCACCCCTGTGGGCTCCTCCAGGTGGGGCCGGGAGAGTGGAGAGGAAGGCGGAGACACTTGGAGGGAAGCTTCAGTGTTGTTAGATGCCATCGAGTCAGTTCTAACTCAGAGTTGGACAACAGAACGAAACACTGCCCAGTCCTGCGCCATCCTCACAGTTGTGTTTGAGCCCTGTTACTGCCCCTGTCTCAGTCCATCTTATTGAAATGCTCCCTCTTTTTCGCTGACCCTCCTCTTTACCAAGCATGACATCCTTCTCCAGGGACTGGTTTCTCCTGACAACATGTCCAAAGTGTATGAGACAAAGTCTCCTAGCTTCTGAGGCTGTGTTTCTTCCAAGACAGTTTTGTTTATTCTGACAAAAACCCACTGCCATCGATTTGGACTCGTATGACCCCTACACAGGGTTTCTTCTAAGACTGTAAATTCTTCCATGGAGTCACTGGTGGGTTTAAACCACCAACCTTGTGGCTAGCAGCCTTATGCCTAACCCACAGCACCACCAGTACACTATGGTATATTCAGTATTCTTCTCAACATCATAATTTAAAGGCATCAATTCTTCTTCCGTCTTTCTTATTCATTGGCCAGCTTTCACATGCATATGAGGTGCTTGAAAATACCTTGGGTAAGGTGCACCTTAGTCCTCAAACTGATGTCTTTGCTTGTGAACACTGTAAAGAGGTCTTATGCAGCAAATTAGAATGATCATTCCAAATCATCATTGGATTTTTCTACTGCTACTTCCAAGCGTCCTGGTGTAGCGCTGTGGGTTAGTGTGCTGGACTGCAAGGTCAGTTTGAACCGTAAAGTTGGTGGTTCAAGCTCACCAGTTAGAACCAACTCGACAGCATTTAGCAACACTTCCAAGAGTGTTGATTGTGGATCCAAGTGAAATGAAATAACTGGACAACATCCATTTGTTCTCCATTTATTCATGATGTTGCTCATGGGTACGTGCAAGGATTTGTTTTCTTTCTGCTGAGGGGTAATCCATACTGAAGGCTGTAGTCTTTAATCTCCTTCAGAAAGTGCTCCAAGTCCTCTTCACTTCCAGCAGTGGGTCTGTGTTTGATTACCAACTTCCACTTGGCTCTGTAAACAGCAATAATGGTTACGATTGTGGATGTAGAGTCCCTTAATTATTTGTACAAATGGTTAAGCCCTTGAGGAGCCTCCCAAAGGCTTCTGGGAAGAAAGTCCTCATGATCTCTTTCTGAAGGCTACAGCTTTGCAGTTTTGCTCTGCACCCATGGGGTCGTCTTGAGCCAGAATCAACTCAACAGCAACTGGTTTGGTTGGGTTTTGGTTTTATTGAGGGGAAGTTGGTTGAAACCATCAGACATTCTCTGCTCTGTCACAGAGAGCCTTGGAGCTCAGCTTGGGAAGGAGGGGTGCATGGAAGAGTCTTGTCCTGGCCTGTTGGTCAGCATCCTCCCTCTTCACACTCCCTGTTGGCATTGCTCCACAGTTTTCCTGTGTCTTCCCCGAGATGGTGGACAAGCTCCTCCTGCTAGATTCCGTGCCGTTGGTCCTGGAGTCAAGTGTAAGAAAGGGCTCTCACGCTGGCATTCCTGATGACCCAGGGCCCGGGTCCTGCCCTCATCCTCCTTCCTTCAGTGGATCCCAGGGAGGAGGAGGTGGTGGCAGAGGGTGGCCAAGGAGTGTCAAGCCCCCCCCCCCCCAAAGAGGATAGCATTATGGTGCACATGCCCCTAGGAGTGGTCAGGGACCTTTGTTGCCCATGGAAACCCCAGTTTGGAAGCGTCAGAATGCCAGGTGGATCATGAAGTGTGCTTCTCAACCCTGGTGACAATGAGGAGGACCAAAGATGGGGTCTTGTGGTCCTGGCCTGGGGCAGACTGGGAGAGAGTAGAGGCAGATGGCTGAGGAAACACCGGACGCAGAGCCTGGCGAACACACACAGGCATGGACGCTCAGTTGAAAACATAAGAAAAGCCCTCCGTCATCCACTAACAACCACCAGGCCAATCCCAGCATCTGAGGTCTGACCCTGTCATTTATTTGTTGTGTGATTTTGGGCAAGTCACTTCTTGTCCACTTATAAAGTGAGGTGGTTGGCCGAGATGACCTGGAAGGCCCCCGGCCCACTCACACACTGCCATTCTGTTCCGAGAGCTCAGCGTCTTGCTGTGACGTATCTCACCTCTTCAGTTTTGATTTTCTTGTCTGACCACAAACTCCATGAGGGCAGAACAGGGTCTGTCTTGTTTTCACCCTGGGCACAGTCCCTGCTCAAGGAGGCCCCTCTTTATACAGGGTCTTCCTCAGGTAGGGTGGGGGGAACATTTGGCCCCCACCTCATCCCTATTCTTAGGGAGGATGTAGAGGAGTGCCCATGTCTATCGCTGCCCTGAGTAGCTGACCGGTGGGCAGTGTGGCTGTTCTCTCAGTGTGCAGGGCTGGAAGACCCAGAACTGCACCCCCACCACCTCAGCCTCCCACCCAATGTTGGGGATCCGGAGCACTGTTGCTGTTATACAGCCTGCCCCCAGTTCACTGGGCCTTCGTCAAACCAAGTGAAACTACTGACCCTTAGTGGTTCCTGCCCTGTGGAGACGACCCCCCTTGTGGTCGTCCCAGCACAGCACTTGGCCATTTTGACAGAGATTTCTTCCCCTGCCATCATCCAACCAAGGGTTAGGGCAGGGCTGGCTGTGACTCCAAGAAACGGATTTGGGGAGGACTCATTCTATGACAGACCCCTCCCTCCCTGGGTCAGAATGAGTCCTCAAAGCCGAGGGGATGCTGGGGGCCCTTGGTCCTCACTCAGCGAGCCGTGCCCCTCAGGAAGTAGAGAACGTGCTGACGTACAGACGGAGAGCCATGGAGCACATCCTGCAGCTGGAAGCCTCCAATAAGCCCTCCAATGTGGTCAGCCCCGAGGAGATGCTGCAGGGGTAGGTGCCACTGGTGGGGGGAGGCCCTGGGAGGAACCTCCTTTCTTCCTGCCCTTTGACCTGAGTGTCAGGCTCCCTGCTCTCCTCAGACACCTGGTCACACTTTGTGCCCACCCTCTGTAGCCACTGCCTTCACCTTGAATTCGGCCGACCTTATCCACTCTGGCATCTCCCCCCTCAGACACCTCTGGGACTCCAGCCTATGGGCCCCTTCTACTTGGACCCGACACCTGCTAACTTCCCCACCCCTCCATCCGGCCTCAGCTGGTTGGCATCTCCTCTGGGAAGCCTGCCCTATATTGCCCAAGTGAACTGCCTGTGCTTTGGGCTTCTAGTCACCTGCCTTGTAGGAACTACATGATCCAATAACAGCCCTTTGTCTCGTCTTTTCCCTCCCATTGCCGACTAGATCACGTGTCCCTCCAGCACCTATCAGTGTGCCTGTAGCTGGTCAGGGTCCCATAGATAGTTGTGTCTAAAGACGTTAGTAAGGAGCCTTGCTTTTGTGGTAGCTACACTCTCAGCCGCTAACTGAAAGATTGCCTGTTCTAACCCACCAGCCCCTACACGGGAGAAAGTTGAGGCCAACTGGCTTCCATAAAGATGGCACCCTTGGTAACCCTATGAGGCGGTTCTAGTCAGTCCTGTCGGGGTGCTGCGAATCTACAATGGTCTCAGTGACAAAGGGTTTTTATCTGGAAAGACAAAGTACAAACACACACCTTTTGCACAGAAACCGACCCCTACGATGAGATGCCTTGCTTCCCACCTAAGCCTTTTGCTTCCTGGTATTTCTCTTAGACCCACTTGTTCTTGTCACACCACTGTGTGTGCACACGCTCACACAGGGCTGCTATGAATGTCTACATCCACACACGTGCACCCCCACTCTAGGGTGGGCTCCCTCTTCCCTGCCCTCCTCTCCTCAGCTGACCCTGCCCCTCATCCGTCACCCAGGCCATCACCACTTTTGTCTCCCCAGACTCCTGAAGAACAACAGTCAAGTGGGGGAGGAGTGTGGGAAACTCCTCCTGCAGAGAGGGACCACCCAGGTAGCCACAGGTAAGAGCTGTCGCCTGCTGCTGTCGCCATGGTTTCCGACTTGCTGTGGATCAGGCAGGGTGCTAAGTGCTTTACAGAGAAGTCTCCTTCATCTCCTTTGTGCTCCGTGGGTCCTATTCAGAGGAGGGGAAACTGAGGCTTGGTGAGGTCTGGTCATCTCAGAAAACTATGGTCTCATAGGGGACCCTGTCAGGTGTATTGGGACTAAATGTGGATGCCACAACTGTGCTCTGTGGGACCTGTTGGGTGGATGCTGGGCACCAGCAACTAGCCCCAAAGACACCCAAGGGTGCCAGGTGACTTACAAGGCTGGGTCATGGACTTGGTATGTTGGCTTCCGGGCAGGCTCAGACCCAGTTTGTTTTCCAGTATGTGCGTTCAGCAATCTTCATAGTGGGGAGGTCTGCTAGTCTGTGGTCAACCTTCACAGTGGGATATTTTAGTCTGCGGTCAGTCTTCATAGTGGGGTCTAGTCTGTGGTCACCCTTCATGATGGGGGCCCTGCTAGTCTGTGGTCGCCCTTCATGGGGGAGGTCTGCTAGTCTGTGGTCAGCCTTCATGATGGGGGGCCTGCTAGTCTGTGGT